ACATTCTGAAAATCACATCATCTGAAGTGATTTGGCAACTTTTTGGCACACGCCCACAATTCGTTCCATCTTTCAACACAGACATTGCCAACCTTCGGCCTTCTGTCAAAGGTTCATCTCACTCATTATTCCATGACCACCATTTTGTGCAATCATCAAGTGGCTTCACGACGTAGTAATGCTCTAATGTTTTTTAAATAATTTTTAATCTGTTTTTAACTTGTCTTGTCATATTTTATATAATTTTGACCATTGTACCATGTATCCAGCTCTCACCATGTTACTGGACGTTTCCCTCATCCTATACGTAAACAACAATTAGCAACATTCTCACATACTACTGTAAGTTGAGTCAATTTAAATTCATTTTACACTTTTGTTGCTACTGATATTATTGTAAAAACAGCTCCTGATGATGATGGCAAAGTCCATTGAAAGCTAGAGAGAATTAAAAAAAGTATAAAGAGTCCTCTGCTTAAATTTTGTCGAAGTACCCAACAAAAGGCGGAAGCTTTAATTTTTCACCTAACTAGTCTAGACGACAATGACCACGTCTCAAGTTATATATATATATGCTTCGAAGTTGAGTCATTTATTTTAACAGTGAGTAGATCTGATCAAAAAAAATGTTTTTTTGCTTTACCATTTTTCTGGTAAAATTAAAGTAACAAAGTTATAGCCCTTTGGAAGTTTGAGTACCGCCCTGTCTCAATAATAATATCATGTGCTCGTGTTTGGCAACAACGGATATAATCCGCCTTATCGGTTCATCGCATCGCAAACAAAAAAGCGAAAGAATTTGGAACGATGTTTTTACAATTGTTTTATTCAGTTCAGTTATACATACAGTCAGTGTCGTCAGTCGGTAACGCGTGTGAATAGTGTCTGTTGCGTAGCTCAAACGAAATAAAAAATGGCACATGTTTATGCGGATCGGTTTCCCAATCGAGTGCAACCAACCCCTCGTGCCTTTGTTAATGTAGTACAACGGGCTCGTGAATCAGGTGACTTAAGACCTCACAGGGGACCTCACGATCAAATACAGGTCCGCACTGAAATACTTGTCGGAAGGATACTTTATAAAACAAGGTAAACATTTTTTTTGAATTTTTTTTTCATTTTTACACACATATTTTGGTTTATATATATATAAATTAATGACTCAACTTCAAAGTCACCCTGTATATATATACAGGGTGACTTTGAAGTTGAGTCATTAAGTTTCAGATAATGATTGTAGAAGGAAGATAAACCAAAATATGTGTGTAAAAATGAAAAAAAAATTAAAAAAAATTTTTACCTTGTTTTATAAAGTATCCTCCCGACAAGTATTTCAGTGCGGACCTGTATTTGATCGTGAGGTCCCCTGTGAGGTCTGAAGTCACCTGATTCACGAGCCCGTTGTACTACTATTAACAAAGGCACGAGGGGTTGGTTGCACTCGATTGGGAAACCGATCCGCATAAATATGTGCCATTTTTTATTTCGTTTGAGCCACGCAACAGACACTATTCACACGCGACTGACACTGATTGTATGTATAACTGAACTGAATAAAGTAAACATCGTTCCAAATTCTTTCGCTTTTTTGTTTCCGATGCGATGAACCGATAAGGTGGATTATATCCGTTGTTGCCAAACACGAGCACATGATGTTATTGAGACAGGGCGGTACTCAAACTTCCAAAGGGCTATAACTTTGTTACTTTAATTTTACCAGAAAAATGGTAAAGGCAAAAAACATTTCTTTTGATCAGATCTACTCACTGTTAAAGTAAATGACTCAACTTCGAAGTCACCCTGTATATATATACACCGCGGTCCAGTTTTTTATTCGTCGACTATGTGTTCCCTTCACTGTTGTTTAAAAAACAAGTTCACCAACAATCTCGCCGACTTAGTAAGTACATAATTTTCTCCTAATTAGGTACTATTAGTTGCTATTTTAATAATTGTTTCCAGTTCCAGACGATGAAGAAAAAATTCTTCGAAAGCTTGAGATTTTAAGTTATAGGAGTGTACTTTTGCAATGCTTTGCCTTCTACCCAAAGAAATTAAAGGATATCTTCTCCAGCAAATTGAATCCAAACTTGCACAAATATACAGGGTGATACATTTGAAATTTTTGAGAGAAATTACAATTTGCGTTTTTGACCACCCGCTATGAGCAAGAATTAGAATTCGAAAAAGTAAAAAGATAAAAGCTAAGGTATGTAAGTTTTTTTTGATACAAAATTCAGCACTCTAAATTTCAAAATGGCGGACTAAGGGGCTGCCGAAGAGGGGAGTTTTTCTAGACAAAACACCTTATATCTGAGTAGCTAATTACCAAAAACTCATAGGATGTTATAGCAATTTTCTTCTTTTGATATCTAGGTCGAAATTGGGACACCCCGTATGATGGCCAATATTTTAGAAATGTGCCCTCAAATGTCATGTATAAAATCCCATAAATAGATTTTTCCAGAATGTATTTGTTTATGAGTAATATTCCGTCCACACATGGATGGGCCACCCTGTATATATATATATATATATACATGCATTTTGAAGTTACACTACTTCAATTATTCGATTATGGCACTTTAGCGTCATATAAATGATAATAAAATAATGATTGGTAAGTTGGACTGCCCAGACTTACTGTTTAAAATTAATTTTGCCGTACCTGAAAGAGTTACATGCTACAATGTACCTTTTTGAACCCAAATGACAACACAAATATTTCAGATATGATCCTATCAGTAGACTAAGCAGTTCTTTTAATAAATTTTGCATGAGCTGTGACATTAGTTGTGATAATCTCGATATAATTCTGGCCAGTCTTAAACCTAATTATGCTGTTTTGAGACGTTGATGTATGACATTGCAAGGTGACTCTGAATCCGTTCTGTAACTGGTATTTATCAGTTTTTCTTATTTGGGTTTTATAGAGTAACTATGCAATCATATAATGTTTTACTAAATTCTACCGTCCCTATCTGTGTTTTCTATAGAAACTGTGTAACGTTTTATTATATTCTGCCTAATTTTTTGTATTTGCTTTATTGCGTTTTATACCAGATATATGTCCGATGTCTTTGCTATATTAGTTCTAATTGTATTGTTCCTGTGACTGCGTGTACCCCGTAGGAATAAAGATTATTCGTATTTCTTTGGTATCTAAAATCCAATTTCTGGTTAACTTTTGTATGGTTTATATGAGAAAATTGTTTCTAAGGAGCATTTGATTAGAAAAATCTGTGAATTATTCGAGTAATGGGAACTAAGATGCGTATGGCACCCACTAGTGTAGTAGGTCATGGAAATGTAACAGAAATAACAGTTCAAATATCGAGGAAGAGGAAATGAGTGATTTTGTTACTTTCCAATGCTTCATTATAAGAAATATCACAACTAGCGTTTTAATCCCGCCATCGTAAAAATACCTACATAGTGAATCACTATGTATGTATACAGGGATCTCGGAATTGTAACAGATACTAAGTCGCTTAAATTCTGGCAATGTTGCGTATTTTATGATCACGTAAATATGATCATTGTATTGGAATTTTGTACATTCGGTCCTAAATTTAGTGATGTATTTCCTTAGTTGGCCTTGAATTTGTTGTTGGCAAGAGTCGAATCGTCATATTGAAATGCCATCTTGTAGAGGAGAAAAAGTGGCAATGTTTACACACAACTTATTGTGGAATCCCATCTCAAATAAAGTCAGGGGTCAAAATTGCTTTTGGGATAAATCTGGTAGACGAAACAAATGACTATCTGATTATTTCAAGGCATATCTAGGCAATTCTGCTTTTTTTGAAATAACTAAGGTTTGGCAACGTCAATGTATCATGCATTACTATACATTTTTGGTATCAGGATTAATAATCTGTACAAAAATCCAATCTATAAGCAAAAATGAAGTTGATGCTGGAGAACAAGAGACGAAACGTTATAATTAAATTCTAATGATGCCAGTGCAATTTATTTTGAAATATATGTACAAATAAAGTCAGGAAAAAAATTAAAACGATTTTGGGAAAATTGGTTTTTTCCGCCTCCCTCCGGAGGTAAATTGAATTTCGAAACTTTGTTGATTATCTAAATACGAACTTTGCGCCCACTTAAGCGACTTCGTATATCTTTCCCCATGGTGAGGGTCAAATTTGGAACACATTGTATCTAGTAAATTTTTGTATTTTAATTTTCTGGTATTATCATATCGTGCCTAGTTAGAGGTTTTTGTGTACTGACGCCTAATTATTATTCAATTATTACAATAGATTACATGTTACCGATGTATACATTTTCATTAATTAAAGGAATTTTGAATTAGAACTCCTGGGCTGTGACGATTGTTCTGAAGTTTTCTGATGTTCTTGAAAGTATTTATTGTGTTTTTGCTTATTATATTTTAGGTATTTCAATACTTTGAATTTACGCAGTTGCCACAACTTCCTACCGAAACTTCAGTTAAGCTACAAGGTAATATGGAACCGAATCATTTAAACTACTAAAGTGAGGGCAATAAAACAAGGGCGGGAAGATGCATAAGAAATAATAGTACACATTTTATGATTGATTAAATGAATGATTTTATCACTATCATGTCGTTTATTTTACGAAAAATATGTTCGATGGTTTTCAGTAATTCCAGTAATTAATTAATCTCTAATATTTTGTGATATTGAGAAGAAATCGTAAAAAATGTTTTCAATGATTTTAATCACACTTCTGCAAAATCGAACCATTCAGTACACAAAAATTATTTTTTATGCCGTGTACGTGATCTTTCGATGAATTGGGGGCGATGATTATAGCAAGGCTGTACATCAAGATAGATGAGAAGAATAACAGAACAAAGGAGCTGCTTCATTACTGAACAAGCGTTGGCTTAATAATGTTGGTATTTTTGTAGGATTTTTCAAAGTTAAAAACTTTGTTCTAAGGTATTTGCGACTTAATTTGTACAAAATATTCACTAGATTCTAACTGATCAACAAAGTACTTACCTTCTGCTTACTTCGAACCATGTCAGGTATTTTTTGCTCGTCTATATTATGTTCGCTAGTTATGGCGGATGTATTTTTGGTTTCGTCATTATTGGTGAAAATACGTTTTGGCTGCATAGTAACATCCCTACTTTCTAAGGTAGTCACTTGGGACGATGCTCTTTTCAATATGGTGCAAGGTGAAGCAGTCGTCGCACTCGAGGTTTTCGATCTACGATAAGAGTATAAATTACGCACTGATATCAAGTACAGGAAGACATACAATGGGGTATTTTTCATAAACATTAATTCAGCGATGATTTACTGTCACAGTTTAGTGTTTTTTTTTCAGACGAAATTTCTCCTGGCTCTAGAAGTACAAATCCAAACACCATCACTATGATATATCAAACTTATCCTTTAAATTGGCCTTTCACAGTATACTAAAATATGCATATTTTATATGGAATCCCCATATATTTGTGATTAGAAAGCCGCAAATTTTGAAAGTAAGGAGCGTATATTTGCTAATAAATATCATCATTGTAAATCACTTTTTTATATATTTCACTCACTCTGTATATGGTCATTTTCATGTCATGGACCATAAACCTTGATAAAAATAGCTTAGTGCGTTTCAGCTATCGAGTCAGCGGTCAGAACACGAACATGATTTAGCGCGGCAACCATAGGATAAGTTTCCTAGCTTGAACTGATCTCAGTAACTTTACTTTAAGCAAATAATCTCACATCTAGCAGTCATTTTTGTGGAAACTAAAGGACAGAGGCGACTATATCGTACATAACATAATAACATAAAAATACGGTAATTTAAATGAAGCGCAATAGATGCAGTTTTTTAAACACACTGGTCATAGACGGTAACAAGTTTTACATGAAACCAAGGCGACGTCGATCAGTAAACTGATGAGAAAATAACTAATATTGAACATTATTCATATTAGAGATAAATATTTTGTATTAAAAGCATTTTCAAAGATTCTGTTTTGATTTTATGATAGTACGCCTTCAGAAATCACTTATAGGTCTTTTTACGGTTTTTGGCGAGTCTCAATAAAACTTCAGGAATTATGGAATCGGCCTCTGTGCATGGACGATTCTGTGTTTTTGTAAGCTCAAAGACATATTTTTTTTATCTCACCGCCTTGGAAATTTTATCTTCAACATATGAGTCTTCCACATTTATGCTTGTCACCCTCAGCACCTATAGCAATTTGTTTGTCATGGGTGTGCGCTTTGTGTTTACCTTAGTTAATCTTCAATATAAAACATAGTTAATACCTGAAGGCACAACTACAATGTCGACAGTCTGCGTTAAATTTATAGTATTTTCAGAAAGTAAGTGAAAACAACGGTCGAACATCATCATGGGTGTGTGTATGAGCGAGTAGCAGCTGCGTTACAGATCGAATTGTGGAATGTGAAATTTCGCTTAGGGAAGCTAAGTTACGAACATGTTACTATTAGTTAAACTGTTTACACATTTAGGACCGTTACGTCAGTCATTCCTGCAATTGTAGGACACTCTTATGACCTCCTTGATTTTTTTCTTTGCTCCCGGCGAATACGAATGAGAAAGAAAAAGAATATAACAAAAAAAAAACGAGAATTGAAAAAAATATTGTAGTGTGTTTCTGGGTTCTTTTGGGTCTGGATTAAAACAGTGGATTGCACAAAAAGAAATGCACTGAGTTATTTATCTTGACTAGATAGAACATTTATGTACAGCACTATCTATGTCTGACTAATTCTTATGTCGTGCCATTGACTGGACTATACTCCACTCCGCTCTACTCTACCGTACTCTGCTTCCATCTCCCGGCCGTCGAACTATAAAGTCCCCATCGCTGATTCAAGAAAGGTCTGGCGAACCACAAAGCGGCATCTAGAATATTCGAGGTCACTTCGCGTCGATCTAGAAGGCGATACACTGGTACGGTCCTCAACAGACGTCGCCAAGCGGCATGTGCTGTCATGATCCGGGTAAATAGAGATCGGCCAAGAAGCTATAGCAAGTAGGAGAGCCACCCAACAGATGGCGCCAACAGGCGTCACAACATTTTTTGATAATCCTTCATGTTTGCCTGGCCGTTAAAGACACCATATGCTTGAATTCAAAGTATTAGAATGAAAACCATATACGAGCCCCTTCCCACTTCAGTTGGCCCACTTCAAGATTTGTACCAAAATATGCCTTTATAAACTAAACATGACGAAACTATTTACTTCTAAAACAATTTATTTTCTCAAAAACATTTTAGATACACTCTAGTCGTAAAAAATACATATTTGAAATCACTTAGACCTATAACTAATAGAACATCTGAACAAATAAACAATGTGCGAATAAATGCGCGAAGTTAACAAAGCAACAATTGAAAGATTACCAGTGGGTAACATCACCTTTATTTTTTATTACGACTGAAATTTGGTGTAAAACAATCCCATATTTCTTAAAGCTTTTGTCTCAGTTCGGTGATTGTACGAGCAGGATGTTGTCGTAGAACCTTTTTCATCTCGTGCCACAAAGTTTCAATAGGTGACAGATCTGGACTGTTAGAAACCCATTTCAAAAGTGGTACATTATTTTCTGCCATCCATTTTATAGCCTTTTTTGAGGTATGGCACGCTGCACCATCTTGCTGAAACACAAAATCTTGGCCGGATGTCAAACATTCTTCCATCACTGGTAAAAGCGATTCTTCTAAAATTGCCAGATATTTGTTTGTATCCACATTTTCATCAATAAAATGAAGTTTTCCTACTCCTTTTGATGACATACTGCCCTGTCCATTATCTATCTTCTTTAGCCCGTCTAAGCCAAGTTAATAGTGGCTTTTCTTTGGCCTATAAACAAGTTGTGCTACTTTAGGGTTTTTACTTCACTTTTTTTATAAGAAAACTTACCTTGCAAGTACTAAATCCCAGTTTGTGAGCCTCTATGAGTTGTGGACCTCGAAATTCTCCTTCCAACAGCGTCACTCCACAGAGCACTTAATTGTAAATAATTGGCACGCCTGATTTTCACGATTATTCTTCTTAATGCTCTTCGGTCGGCATTTGTGATATTTTAAACGTATACTGACAGCTGTGATTAATAAAAACAATTGTCATGGTTTTTATTTTTCACAGCCACCTATGGGTTATAGACCTATTTTGCATTGAAATGAACATATGTTGATATGCTGTAATTGCAACATGTGTTATTTTTATGCTGCAAATTTGATTAGGGAGTGATAAAGTTGGTGTTTTCTACTATATATTATCAAAATATTCATTGTTAATATTTTAAACCTATAACACCCTGCTACATTTTTATTATTTGTGTTTGATAAGAAAAAAACTAAGATTTCAATAGTTGGGCCAACTGAAGTGGGAAGGGGCTCGTACATATTACAAATTCTTACATACTTTTTGATATTCACTCTTTTGTTGACCAGCACTGAACAAATTTTAGGTGGAAGAATAGTACATAATTTTATATAAAAAATATATAATGCAACAAAAGGCAAATGTGCATCGGAGAAAATATATAGGATGTCTGAGATAAGAATGGGAGACCACTGGAACTCGGAAACGGTTAGCCAAGTGTTGAGAAAACATTTGCATAGTTGAGTTACCTTTTATAAGAAGTTTACACATTTTAGATATCTTTTCATTTCTAATTATTTGAGACAAACTGACTCTATAAATTTCGGGGAAGCAGCAGAATTAGCTTTTTCAAATAATTATAAATCGAGTTGACAGCTCAAATCTGTCAACTTTATATAAAAGGTAACTGGATTTTCTCTTTTAACCAATAAATACTGTAACTCTAATTGTCTCCTAGATCCAGTTATATCTCATCATCATCTTAAACATAATGTATTATTCTGACCCACATCTCACCTTCATAGCTTTATATACTGAGTTACAAACAAGGTAAACACCTACGTATGTTTATTAGAATTCAAGAATTTTTTACATATCGATTTATCTTCAATGAACAACAAGCGATAAAATGGTCAGATTTTTCTGTTAAGTTTTTGGGGTGACTAGAGTGCGTAGAGTTCGCCGGGTGTCCCAGCTAAGTGACTTTGAGAGGGGTCGAATTATAGGGTTGCGTGACACGGCTCTATCGATAAGAGAAGTTTCTAGGAAGACCAACAGATCCTTACGCAGTCTACTGCAGTGTGAACGAGCGTGGACTCAGGAAGGCCGAGGACAGCGAGCGAGGGAGCCCCAGAGGGACCACAGAGCGACAAAACCGCCGGTTAAGACTACTGGCTGTGAGAGACAGATTCAGTAGTACTTGAGCCATCGCTAATTAGTGGTTTGAAGAGCACGGAAAGATTGTTGGTATGTGTACGGTATATCGCCTAATACGACAGTTTGACCTTTTTTCTTATCGCCCACATTGGGTGCTACCTCTCACAGCTGAACATCGGTGTAAGCGTTTGCTCCGGTGTAAAGAAAGAATTTTATGGGACCGGGAATGGAATCAGGTGGTCTTTAGTGACGAATCCCGCTTCAGTCTGGGGATGCACTATGGTCGGGCAAGAGTGAGAAGGCGACGTGACCCACAATTCGACAGAGAGCGTCACGTTCACCACACCGTGGGAGTTATGTTATGGGGTGCTATTGCTTGTGCAGATCACCACTAATTTTCATCAAAGCCAATATGACGCTTTATTCAGGAACTAGTGGAGACTCATCTTATTACATACCTAAACACCATCCAAAACCCAATCTTTTAGCAAAATAATGCCAGACCGCATGTTACCAGAGCATCGTTAGCCTTCATGGATCAACATCGCATCAACCGTTTACCTTGGCCACCACGATCGCCAGACCTATCTCCAATTGAACATATCTGGGACACGATAGGTCGCAGGCTCTTGAAATGGCAACACCCTCCACAGACTTTAGCAGCTCTTACTCACGAAGTTGCAGTAGCCTGGAATGAGATACACCAACAGGGCCGGATATCGACCACCTTATCAGCAAGATGCCCACCCGTATCAATGAGTGTATAAGAAATCGAGGATCCTCAAAACATTACAACAGTTGACGAATCAAGCTGAAAATTTAATCATTTTACTAGTAAGGACACTGGACATATATGCCAAAAATTATTTTAATGGGATAAACATGCGTAGGTGTTTACCATTTTTTGTCATTCAATATAATTCTTTGTTCGAAATGTACCTTTCACCTATAAAAAAAGTGAAA